CGATCTCCTGAAAGCTTCACCAACTTAAAGAGAATAGCACTTTGAGATTATTTTGTCTGTTAAAGACTTAAGGAATTTAGAATCGCTAATTAATCGTGTTTGGGAAAAGTAAATCAATTTCAAATTACCTAGTTGGCTGAATCACAGATTTCTCTGTGATGGAGAAATAGAGGTGTTTCAAAGATGTTACTTAATTGAATTGGAAAATACAATGATTCTAAGGCAAACCTGTTTTTATAAAATTAATCATTGTTAGTGGGAAGCTAAAAGAAGTTACATACATATGGGGAGAAATTTTATCTTTCTGTAATCAGAAATCACTCAAGTATTTATCAAGTGCTTGTTTTAACTAAAGGGGTTGATATTTTTATGTTAAGATACTAGGGGAAATAGTTTAGCTTTTTTTCTTAATAGTTTAATGCTAAAAATTATACTAAAAGTGTTACTAAATGACATCTTGTGTTTTCATAATGCTAAACACAAATATTTTCATTATTCTAAGAAGAAATTCCAAGAATGTGTTAAAACATTATTATTGGTCATTTGAAGACACTTCCATGTTTTCCTTAGATGCCTTTGAGTAATGGACAGATGTGCCAGCCTCCCAGGCCTCAGGCAAATTATAGTCAAGTCCATCACCCCCCTCCTCAGGCATCTGTGGCAAGGCATCCCTCTAGAGAACAACTAATTGATTACTTGATGCTGAAAGTGGCCCACCAGCCTCCATATATACAGTCCCAATGTTCTCCTAGACAAGTCCATGAACTGGCAAAACAAGAGGTAAGAACAATTTTTAAAAATTTCAAGTATTAGAATGAGCCTTTAATGTATTTCACCTAGGAATTATAGACATTGATAACTTTTTAATGTTATTGTAAATGAATCCATATAGGATTCTCATTAGCATAGTTACTGTAATTTTGTCTGTATGCTAAGATGTTTTCATATGTTAAGTTTTGTACATGAATCCATAGGTTTCTCAGGAAGATAAGTTTTCTCCTGTTTTCCCTTTGTTACTTTCTGATTAACTCAGGGAATTTAGAGTCTTAGGCATCACTGTGTCTTAGAAAGCAAATGTTTTCCCAAGTTCTGTCCTGCTTATAATAGTGATTTGACCTGATAAATACTAGCTGACTAGCAGAATATTGAGCATTATGGGCTATTTTTTAAAAATTGATATTAGAGCTTAGGTTTTTAGATTTTAGAATTTCATTATGTTTTCCACACCCTCCCTGAGAATGAAATTTTAAAAAATATTCTCAGTCATTCTGTGTGTGATCCTGGAGTGATGGTGAGCTATCAGTATCACTAGAAATTCAGGGAAAGAAAAAAATGCTATTGGCTTTTTGGTTGATCCTTTTCTAGTAGCATAAAAGTTTAGCTCAGTATCTTATTAACAGAGCTAGTTTATGGGGATAATTATTGGCTTATTAAGTTTAAAACACCCAACTCTTTGAAAGGACATAGTCAAATCCAAAAAAATGAACTCTTCTTTTCAAAAATCACCTAGGGATCTTTAAGCAGACATTTCACAAAGCAATAAACAGAGTATGACACATTAGTTTCATAATAAATAGAGAATGGCCATGTGCATGTATACTTCCATGTTCTCTATCTGATACCCTGAATGCTCATTTAATACAAATCTATTGCTTTTAATCTGTCCATTAAATGTAAAAAATATAATAGGGCTACTATTAATTTCTAGCATATTTTCATGAACTCTAAGCAGTAGACAAATTTAGAAGCCATGCTTTATAATCCCAGCAATGCTATTAACTCACTAACTAATTAACAGTGTATTATTTAATTCACTGTCTGCCTTAGTTTCACATTGTCAGTGACCTACTTATTTAATTTAAAAGAATCTGTAGATAACTGTCATTTTTAGACATTTTAGATTTGGAATTTTGAGAAGTTAAGGGTATGTTAGATGGTAAGTATTCAGTTTACTGTGAGTCTCTTTGAAGCAAAACAATAATAGTTCATTTTATTTTCATAAATTCAGATTCGAGTAAGAGTTGAAAAGGATCCTGAGCTTGGATTTAGCATATCAGGAGGTGTTGGGGGAAGAGGAAATCCTTTCAGACCTGATGATGATGTAAGTTTTGTGTGTATTTGTTTTCAAAATGTCCTGTGAATTTTCACCAGCTACATACATGTCTTTTTAAAAATGACTTATCTCTAAAAGTTTATAACAACTTTATGAGTTAAGTTATGCAAGTATTATTATTATTATTATTATCATTGTATAATGGAGTGAGTCCTGAATCTGGAGTCAGAAAATCTAAGATTGTATCCTGGTTCTGCTGATTACTATGTTTGTGACCTTAGGCAAGTCATTTAACATCCTCTGAGTCTCGGTTTCCTCATGTATAAAATGCAGGAGTTGCGTACTGGATGACCACTTCTAGATTAGGTGTCTTTTCCATTCACAAGTATGTGATTGTGATTCTTTTTTACAGATGAGGAAATTGGAACTCAGGTTAAGTAACTTGTTTACAAGAACACATTTAATAACAGAGCTAGCACTTGAACTCAGGTCTTATGTTATTAAATCTAATGAGCTTTCCACTATACCATCATGCCTCAGAGGTATGAACAGGGAAGGTTTTACCTTTTAGATTCTATCAGCATTACCCATGGTTTTATTTAGATAATTGATTTCAAATAAGATCTTTATGTATAAAGAACATTTTAAATTTAAGACCACCAACATAATATTTAATAATAATAATATGTTATTATAATATAATTAATATTATATGTAATAATATTAATATAATAATATAATTATTAATGGTGGTATTTTTGGTGGGAAGTTAATTTTAAGGGAATGAGAATTTTAAAATATTGAAAATCTTAGTTTTAAAAATATTTCTAAAAATTTCCCCAAATTTACATGTATCAGATATTGAATTATAACAAGTTCTTTTGATACTATTGGCTACAAGAGTAGTCTATTAGAATCATAAAGTCTTAGAGTAAAAAGTTTATAGATTGAAGGCTAGTAGGGACCTTCAAGGGTATCCATTTTAGCCCTCTCACTTTTCTAGATGAAAAAACTGAAGTCTTAAAGAAGGAAAGTGATTTTCTCAAGGTCAAGTTCAAAGGGGTCTTAAGGCTCTTTCTTATAGCATCTCTGACAGGTAGTCTGGCCTTTGCTGTGACGATGAGTTTCATTATCCCTTTAAGATAGCCCTATATGTTGTTTCTTTTTTTTTTTTGGTGAGGCAATTTGGGGTTAAGTGATTTGCCTAGTCACACAGCTAGTAATTGTTATGTGTCTGAGGCTGGATTTGAACTCAGGTCCTTCTGACTCCAGGGCCAGTGCTCTATCCACTGCACCACCTAGCTGCCCCCGTATTGTTTCAATTTTTAAACAGTTACTGGATGCTTGTTATGTGCAAATGATTATATTGTATGACTCTGTGGAAAAGACGAAGATGACCAAAAAGCTTAAACTAGAGCAGAAAAGATATGCATGTAATAACTATAATGATATACAGATTGTAATAAGTACAACGAGGGGAACAGCAAGTTCATCAAGAAAGGAGAGACTATACCTGGCTCATTGGCTCAGGGAAGGTTTCATACATAAAGGTACAAATAAAACTGTTCCTTAAAAGGATAGGTGGAATTTTGATAGATAAGATCATTCTAGGCAAAAAACACTTTTGACTAAAAATACAAGAGTGGGAAAATGTGAGGTGTGTTTGAGAAATGATGAGTCATTATGTATCATTGGACTCCTGGGCAAATTGTGGAAGTATTAGTAGAAGAGTAGTAGAAGATTAGACTAGAAAAGGAGGTTTGTGCCAAATAATGGAAGACCTTGAATAATATGCTTAGCAGTTTGGAAAGACACTGAAGATTGTTAGAACAAGGGATTAACATGATAACGCTTTTACAAGATGACTCAGACAGGTTAGGTAGGGGAGAGACTAAAGTCAGAGAAACAAATTAGGAAGTTACTGCAGTAGGTAAGAGGTAGTAAGCTCATGGACTAGGGCAATGGGAATGGAAAAGAAGAATTAAATGTAAAAGATTTTTGCAGGGCAGAACTGGCAGGATTTGGCGACTGGATTTGGGGAGAGGGTTGGTTAAAGAAGAGGGAATAGTGATTGAATTCTGAGATTTTGAGCCTTGATAATTGATTGAATGTGTAATAATAAATTCCACATAAAACTCTGAAGTGCAAGAGGTAAGCAGGTTTGGGGGAAAGGATAAGAACTTCAGTATTAAACATGTTCAGATTCAGATGCCGACATGACATCCAGAAAGATTTTAGCTCAAAGCTGGAACTTGGGATGATGGTTGGGCTAGTATAACATGTTGGTGAATTGTCTGGATGGTTGAAGCCAATGGGATCACCAAAGGAGAGAGTATGAAGAAGAGAAGGAAGTCAAGGACAGAAAAAGAGCCAGGAAAGCAGACTGGAAATGTAGTCACTAGGAGAAATAATTCATAAAATCCTAGAAATTTTAAGCTGGAGAAGACCTAAGAAATTATCTCATCCATCATCCTGTCTCAAGTCATTAATTACTTGGAGAATTAAGAATAGGACTCAAGGGTAAAGAATCTTTCTCTTATGGTGTGAGAAATGACAACAGTAATTCCAGACACTGCAGAGAAGTCCAAAAGGATGAGGAATAAAGGCCAATTCAAACTGGATATGCTGGAGAAATTCCAAATTCAGCATGTGCAAAACTGAACTTATTTTCTTGCCCATATACTTCACACGCATTTCTCTCCCTGACTGCCACATCTCTCTCGAAAGCCCCACCATTGCTTCAGTGTCCCAGGTCCCCAACCTCAGAATTATCCTTGACTTTGCTCCCTCACCCTATACATGTAGTCATCTTGTCTCTCCACAACATCTCTCTGGAATCTGACCCCTTCTCTCCACCTTAGTTCAGACCTGATTTACCTTAAGCACAGATCTAACCATTTCATTTCCCTACTCATTAAACTCCAGTGGCTCCCTGTGGCCTCTCATATCAAATATAATCTCATTTTTGAAGTTTTCACAACCTGGCCCCAACCAACGTCTCCATCCCCATTTCACATTATTCCTACATTCTGGAGTCCAGCCCCACTGACTTTCTCATGGTACTTCACTACAACTCTCCTCCCATCTTTCTGCCTTTGCAGTTGCCATTCCCTCTGCCTATAATGCCCTCCCTCCTCGCTCACCCTCACCTCTTTGAGTTTGCACCGATACATGAAGCTTTCCTGATTCTCTGATTGATAGTGCCCTCCTTCCCAGAGTACTTCTTTTTCTGTTCATATTTTTCTATGTATACTGACAGCATGTAGCCCCTTGCATAGGAAAATGATTCCATTCTTTGTATCCTTAGCATCTCCCTGAAGTAGGCACTTAATAAATGTTTATAGATTGATTGAGTAGAGGCTACTTTTATTAGAAGTTTGGCAATAAAATGTGGTAATTCAAGGGGCTGCATGGGGTAGATTTGAACATGAACAGGAAAAAGCAGAATGTCAGCCTTGGGGAATGGGAGGGATACACCTCAAAAGGGAAGGAAGGAAGGAAATTCTTTATCAAAATGGAGAGAAATTTTGAGTTTTTGAGGAACTTATGTTAGAAGGCCTTGATCTTCTCAGTAAAGTAGGAGTTGAAAGATAATATGCTGATAGGAAGAAAAGCTAAGGAGGACTGTGAAAAAGTTGCTATGGATAACTTCATAAAGAGCTAATTTCAACTCAATCAAAGAATTTCTGAATAGCCCTGAGACTCTTCAACCTCACTTGTAATTGCTAACCTTTGGTCTTAGTTCTGCCTTCTGGAATAGACAAAGTCAGGTCTGTTCTGTCTTATTTGTAACATTTCCTTAAAAATGGTGAATTAGCGCCCAAAGACCTTGGTTCTGCTGATAATTAGGTGCGTGGCTTTGGCAAGTCATCTCTACTTTCACAAGACGAGGAGGTGTTTAGCCTTTCAGGGGTCCCCTTGCTTCTGATGCTGGTCAGGCCTGGGATTTGTAGGCAGCTGCCGAGATCTCCAAGGCTTCTCTAGACTCAGAAATCCCAGTTCTTCATTTCAGCTCTACAAGTATTTAAGGAGCACCTGTGAGTACAAGGTTCCCCATGAGATACCACAACGTATAAGGTATAGCCCCTTCTAAAGAAACATCTGTTCTAGTTAGATAAATGACACAAACACTCTCTTTTTAATCTACAGTGATTTAATTTGTGTAGGGAACTCCTAGTGGTGAAACTCCTCCATTTACACAGATCAAAATTCATCTGCAACATATAGTCTTAGAAAATTTCTTAGAACACAGAAAGATTAAGTGACTTGGTCTGTGGCAACACTCAGATCTAGTGTATGTTACAGACAGGTCTTGGACTCAGTTTTTGCCACTTCAGGCCAGTCTTCTATCCACTCTGCTTCCCAGTCACAATAATGATAGGGGTAGAGGACTAGCCCCTCTGGTATGAGGGTTTGCTTAGCCCTTTTCAGGCCTGTTCATCTGCCTTTGGTGTCCACCTGTCACCCAACTCTTATCTGTAGCTCCAAATGGACGTGATGGCAGGTGAGACAGGCTCTCTGGAGTGCTTAAAGCTTGGTCAGACATTGAAGCCGCCAAGGTCATCCACTTCATCCTGGGCCATCACCAGTCATCTTCACTTTTATCCTGCCACTAGATTTTGATGACTGAGGAGGAGTGAGGCTGATGACTTTGTGCAATTCTGCTTCACTTAAATCTAAATCATGCACGAGTCAAGACATCACCCTGTGATGTCATTGGACCTCATTGAAAAACAAAGGTGAGAGGCAGCTAGGTGGTGCAGTGCATAGAGCACCGGCCCTGGATTCAGGAGGACCTGAGTTCAAATCCAGCCTCAGACACTTAATACTTAACTAGCTGGGCAAGTCTCTTAACCCCATTGCCTAGCCAAAAAAAAAGAAAAAGAAGGATGAACAACCATAATTATAAGAGGATAGGATGTTAAAGTGGAAATAGAAAAGTTATTAAATGTTGTGTTAACTCAAGAGAAAGAAAAGAGTGCTCCTCACTACTTTGTTATTTATGTTTTCAGTTAAATTTTCATTTTCTTTTTTTTTCTTGGTTAAAGGGCATATTTGTTACCAGGGTACAGCCTGAAGGACCAGCATCAAAACTATTGCAACCTGGAGACAAAATTATTCAGGTGATTGTTGTATATCTTTTTATAATTTTTTTCATGTTTCTGTCCTAAAATTCTTGAGTTGCATGTTATATAGCAGCCTGAATATAGTAGTTTAATAAAATTTAATATAGTTAATAAGCAGAGTCAGGAAAGAAGTATTTCCTATATTTACTGGCATTTTAATTGATTCATTTAATATTTTCAAATTTGAAATTCTTTCACTTATCTTGGAAAATTATGTGTAAGAAGTTGTATAACAAACAGGTGCTTGGAATTTTTTACTGGGGTTTTGCTAAGGGTAAAGACTGAACACCATCTAAAGGAAGTGATGATTAGGGTTCAAGTAGGGCTGGGTTAAGTCCATATTGTCCGATCAAAGCTGAGCAAAGTTTTTAAAAAAAGGTAGACTCACATACCTTGGAAAGTCCTGCATCTCTCTTCATCTGTGGAAAGGCATCTTCCTCCCCTCTGGGTGGTTGGAAACAGAAATGGGGCTCACAATTAGGCAGGAGTAGAGATTACAAATAGGTTCCCTATTTGTAGAAGAAACACAGAGAAAAAAATATACAACCTGGATCACCCCCTTTTGCTTCCTGCTAGGGAAAAAAACAAGCAAACTACTTCTTGTATTTCCCATCCTTGTCCCAAGAACAGGCATTCTAAGTGTAATCTAATTGTAATCTTCTGAATGAAATATGGGAGGAACCAGGAAAAAAAAACTATACATCTTTATTGAAAAGATAACTGGGAATATTGTAGTGAGTCCTGATAATAGATGATTCCTTAGAAAATCAGTGTTGTGAAAAATGACTGAGTTTTCTCTCTTGTTATTCATTATTTCTCCTCATGTAATAAACCATCTAAAAATATCTATTGATAGGAGAAGCCATCTAGAGGCATTTATTGGCAAAAGAATACATGCAAATAAGTTACTGTGGGAGTGTTTTTCAAAAAGAAATTTTCTTTCTCATTTTAGGCTAATGGCTACAGTTTTATCAATATTGATCATGGACAAGCAGTATCCTTGCTAAAAACTTTCCAGAACACAGTTGAACTCATCATTATACGAGAGATTTCTTCATAAGCACTGTGGACTAAAGGAAAAGTCAGCAAGGTTTATTGCAAGACATCTGTGGGGAAACTGAATAGACTATTTTTATATATGAAAAGGAACTTGAAAGATTATGTGAAAAATTTGTACATTAATGAAATTCTGAACTTGTGGTTAGAGGGCAAGAACCACTGTATGGAACATACAGGAAACTGTTTGGAGAATCATCTGGTGAATAAATCTCATTAGATTTTTAAACATTATAACAATCAAGGTTACAAGAACAAACCTGTATTGTTCTTGTATAGATTGTAGATTTATTTTTTGATAACTCATACACGTTACTAAACTTTGTTCAAGGCTTTGGACTGATGGCAGAGCTGTCTGTCCTGTAGCTGTTTATGCCTTTATTTTTATTCACCTCACCTGGTATTAATCTTTTCTGCTGAAACCACTTACATAAATGTGGGCAAGAGATTTGAAATGTTGGTTTTTGCTACGTGCACATTGTATAGATGAATGGGTAGATGAAGGTGGTGTTGGTTGCGTTCATTTCCAAGGCTAGATAAAAGTTATTTCCAATCACAGTCTGGAAGCAAAGAGAATGGGAAAAAAAATGCTTGTCTACCAAAAGAATAATGCAATAAAACATGTAATGTCTTTTTTTTTAAATAAAAAGACTATAATTACATTTTATGAGCTCTACAAGATCTGTTTTTGCCGTAGCCATTGACTATTCATCTGCTATTGGTGATTGAAGTTTTATTTTTTTAGTCACAAAAAATTTTTTACCTCTTATTGTCTATATCCCCATACATTTTTCTTTGCCATGAAAATCCCCTGATTTTGTGCAAATGGTGGTACTTTTTAATCTGATCTGTAATCAGTACTCCATTTTAAGCTTATTTATAGATGTTTTTTTCATTTTGTTTTTAAATGAAACTGAAATGGCCAGTTTTTAAGACGTGTTACCTGTAACACTCATGGAATGCATGATGCAGGAAGGGTCAGGAAAGCCATCTTGATTTTGTTTGGCCTTGCATTGCCTTGTTAAATTAAAAAGAAACAATACGCATGGAGCTAGGTAACCAAAGCAAGTTTGTGAAATAGTGGCACAGTGATGGAGAATTGCTGTGGGAAGTTATTTAGCAAGGGGATGGGTCTGTTAGACCTACCGGTTTGTAATGATCTTCGATTAAGGGCTGTTCCTACAGGTAACATTAAATGTGAACTAGACACTTCAGAGTCATTAAAGGGTTTCTTAACTATTAATGTAATTGTAATTTACCACCGGCTGCCTTTGTTCCTTATTACTGTATAAAATACTTGATGATATGTTTATTAATTTTGTTCACCAGAACTATTTTGTTTTATCATTTCTCCTTTGTAATTGAGTAGAGATTGAATAATGTACAGTGGTAAGAAATAATGCATGGTTGTTTGGACCAGGGAAAAGTGCCATAGAAGACCAATAACTGTTTTTAATCAAGGCTAATCATTAGCCTTCCATGAGAGCAATAGTCAGTTATTGCAGTTCATTTTTAATTAAGAAATGTAAGTTGATGATTTTAAACTAACTGATATACATTGTTCTTCAACCCAAATGTAATGAAGACTTTTTATATAGGGCTAGTGAAAAAAAAAACCAACCTACTTTGTTTTTTTGGAAAAGTGAGTTGGAAAGAAACGTTCCTTCTTTGCTAGTCAAAATAAAGTAAATAGGCAGTACTTTTTAAATACATGAACTCAAATATTATTGCACTTCTTTCAAGTTGTTATGGCTTATTGTACTGTATAGTTTTAAAAATTTAATTGAAACCCTTTAACAACTCTTTGTATATTTTAACTCATTTTAGTTGATTTTCAGTAATATTTACATAGGAATTTTTTTTTGGATATATTAGAAGAAATGTGCTGTATTTTGATAAAATCCACTTATTGTATGTGTGTTGTAATCTCTAAAGAAAAGAATGACAGAGCTTCTATATTATAAGCCTCAGTGTTCCCTTTATTCTCAGATTTCTTTTCTGACTTTATTTTGACATTTGCAACAATCTTCACATTTCATTGCTTTAAATCACATTCTGCCTTTGAAAAGGGATTACACAGAATATGTGTGTTTTGGTTTTTTTTTCTGTATCTGCTAATTTAATTTGATCATCTACGCAGCCTATAATCTTAAAGAGTGAAAAAAAGTCCTAAAGAACTGATTCTTTGCTGAGCTGGCCTTAACTTAATTTCCATATACCATATAACTGATTTAAATACCACAAGTGCAACAAGTTATAAATTATTCTGTATTAAATTAATGGTTTCTAGACCTTTTATTTCAATTTAACCAGTAATTCATAGAGTACCCCAGTTTTTGTTATCAGGAATGTGCAATAAGGTATGAAACTGCACAGGTTCCACATTACTTATTTATTGTTCAACCCGAAACTCATTCCCAAAATATCAAAAATCTTAACATCAAATGTCATTTTGCTTAGGGAGTATAGATTTTTATATAATTATAGTGTTTTGATGATTGTTTCCATTTGGAAAGAGAAAGGAAAGGAAACCTATAGGTATGAGTAGCTTTAGGAAAGTTGTAAAGTCATTCTTAGTTTAAAATCCAGTCCATGTAAGGACCATCACCCCCAATACTTAATTTCATTTTAATGAATATATGGTAGAAAATCTGAAGCCAGAATCAATATTTTTCAATAGCATGTTTCTTATCTGGGATTTTTTAAACTAATAAAAATGAAACTAGAATAATTTATTCAATATGAAGTTGTTTCCACAAACACAAGATATCTTCATATTTTGTGACAGCTCATTAAAGAATTGGTTTGAATGATATAGAGAAATTTGAAATTACCCTCGTATTTATTTTGTAAATATTTTTCTGACCTATTTGGACTGGAGTTTTGAAAAGTGTGGGTGTGGATATGAATGAGAATGAGTGGGGATGTGTGTATATGTATGTGTATGTGTGTGTGTGTATATATATATATATATATATATGTTATATATACTTGAAAGCATCTTCTGAACACAATCATAGCAATAAGCAACACAGAATTGAGCCTTTAATATTAATTTGCTGTAATTTTTTCCCCAAATTTTCCCATGTCAGCAGCTATGTAATGTTTTTATCGATCAGCATTTATTCAACATTCCAAATTTTTGTATATAACTAGATTGTTTCTGAGGTAACACCTGAAGAATAGATAATAAACTAATGATCTTTAAAGCTGTGTGGTTTATGTTTTAAGTTTTATATATCCTCCTGATTCGATATCCTAATACTGAGTCAGCCGAATCAACTTAGTAGAATTCTCAAGGAAGAAAGGAAATATGGCATTTTTTTCTCTCTTACATTCAGAGCCCTTAATTTCAAAATATGTCTTCCTCATGGCAAGGAAAAGGGCAGTTGGCTGAGTTACAAATTGGGGTGTGTTTTTTTTTTCTGAACCAACTAAGAGAAAAAAGTTAAATTTAAGAAATAAACTCCTTGTTCACGTGTTGCTGGCATTTAAATACTCAATTCTTTTCCTACATGTCTTCAATGAAATATATCAAAATGTAAGGGGAAAAAAAGATTGAAGAGTAAGTTTTTTTTATAACATTATTTTCTAGATCCACCAACGCACCAACAAGTACAAATTATTAAGATGCTTGATAATATGGATGCAAATAGCCATAAACAGTGGGGAAGGTGCAGAATGTGAAGGGTAGAAAAACAAAGTAGATGACAGAAGAAGCCTGTGTATAACATTAAATACAGGTATTATGCTTTTGTCCTATCTGCATAGCACTGCCACCACTCAGCAAAAGAACTACAAGTGGAATTTCTTGGCAAAATGAAGCAATCTGAGGAGAAAGAAGAGAAGCAGGGAAGCAGCAGCACTACCTCAAGAAATTTTTTGATATAACATTTCTAGGATGTGTGACTAGAACATAATGTGTTTTTTTTTAATTTGAAGGTAGTGTTTTATTAAAGCAGCTTCATTGAACCTGACTGTGGGGGAGCATAATATTAATTTGTGAATTGACCAAAAAAAAATAGAGCTTTAATGCTGAAGGCAAAGATTCCCTTATTTGTGGCCCACAGACCTGCCCTCAGCCTTGGTTTTAGAGAAATGGACATGGGTAAGGGAAAATCAAAAATCATTTGAATCCTTGAGCATATAAAAGGGTAGAAGATATTTGAAAGTAGATAACATATGTGATCCACCACTATGTAAAAAATAACAGATCCTCCAAGACGGAAAAGTCTCAAGATAATTCCAGAGGAAAAGAGAGTCTTGAACTTGAGAAATCTAGACCTTGAGGACCAGTTGAATAAGGTTGTGTTTCTGCATCTTATGGAAGAGAACTAGAGAGGTCTTCTACATAAAGACTTCAATGTTTTAAAGAGGTGATTGGATGGATGCATGGATGGATGAAAGGGTGGAAGGTAATGCTTCCTTTGTGCTAAGTGCTGGGCATACAAATAGAAAAACAAGATAGTCACTGCTGTCAAGGAACACTCAGGCTAATAGTGCAAACAACAGATAACAGATTTCAGCTTCAAGTCAGGTTGAAAGACTCCCGGTTCTTGGGGTGCAGCACCAAGGCAGATGATAATGCATCTTCAGTTTCATTCCCATTAATAGATCCATAATCATTTCTAATCTTGAACCATTAGTGGTCTGCAGTGAGGAGAAATTTTTCTGGGTCTTCAAAAACTGGCTGCTTAGGAGGGGGCAGGGTAGGGTGGGACTGCGGCACCTGCAGAAGCAGTGCTAGTTCCAGTCTCCACAAAAGTTGCTGCCTTTCACAATGTCCTGGAGAGGTCCTGAACTGCTTCCATCATGAGTCTGAAGGAAGGTGATTGATGTTCAAGGTGGTTATAGAGTTTACAAAGGGTTTTCCTTGCAACAATCCTTTCTCATGCTACCAAGACACCATGTACAATGTGGTTATGGACATTTCAACTCATGCAATAAAAATTCATAGATTCAGTCATCAATCTTTTGACCCTGAGTGTTGCTAATTGATAGCTATGGCTATCAACTAAGAACTAAGAACTTCTTTTAAAAAAATAAAAGGTTTTTCTTGCTTTTTATGTTTTTGCAACACAGATAAGGAAATATGGTTTGCATGAAAAGAGGTAGTTAGGCAGAGCCAAGATGGTGGAGTGAAAGCAGAACTTGCTTGAGCTCTCCCCCAAACCCCTCCAAATACCTATACAATGGGTCTAAACAAATTCTAAGGCAGCAGAACCCACAAAAAGACAGAGTGAAACAAATTTCCAGCCCAAGAGAAAGGTATATCACTCTGGGCTGGGAGCAGAGTGCAGTGCAGCATGAGCGCACAGGCCATGGCAAACCTGGAGCAGGCCTCAGAGGACTGAATCGCAGGCAGCTGTGGCGGTGTCCAGACTCCTCAATCCACGAGTGCCAAAGACAACTTAGAAGGTCAGTGGGAAAAGTCTGTTTCTGCAGTGCTGAGAGAGGAAGGTGGGGTCTGAGCTCCAGTTCCCTGAGAACGCGGCCCTGGGGTGGGCAGCTGCTTCCTGAGCTTCTGGCCCGCAGACAGGGGGAATCGAGTGGCTGATCAGAGGGGGGATTGCAGGGATCTCTCCGCTGGTGCTGAGGCAGGAATCTCTTGCTTTGCCTGTGCTTGGATCTGAGTCACAGTTCTGGACGGGGGTACTGGGGTGAGAAGGAGTGCTGGCGTGGTGGAACTTGTAGTGGCTGTGGACAGGAAACCTTCCTCACAGTTCCAGGACAGAAAGGAGTGCTTGTGGTCACTAATAAACCACAGCACAGGCCAGGAAAGGAGTAAATACATTGCCCCTTATACCACCTTGCAAGAACTGAAAATTTACACGTCCCTAGAAGTATCTCTGAAACTTATAAACCCCCAAAGCTTGGGGCAATACATTCTCCACATTGGAAGCAGACTCTTACGTTAACAAAGAGTTTATAACTCAAGTAATTGGCTGGGATCATGAGCAAGCAGCACAAAAAAGTCAGACTATATTATCTTACTTTGGAGACAAAAAAGATCAAAATATACAACCAGAAGAAGATAACAAAATCAAAGCTCGTGCATCCAAAGCCTCCAAGAAAAATATGAATCAGTCCCAGGCCTTGGAAGAGCTCAAAAGGGATTTTGAGAAGCAAGTAAGGGAAGTAAAGGAAAAACTGGGAAGAGAAATGAGAGTGATGCAAGAAAATCATGAAGAACAAGTCAACAGCTTGCTAAAGGAGACCCAAAAAAAATACTGAAGAAAGTAACACCTTGAAAAATAGCCTAACCCAAATGGCAAAAGAGGTCCAAAAAGCCAATGAGGAGTAGAATGCCCTAAAAAGCAAAATTGGCGAAATGGAAAAGGAAGTCCAAAAGCTTACTGAAGAAAATACTTCCTTAAAAATTAGAATAGAGCAATTGGAAGCTAGTGACTTTATGAGAAATCAAGACATTGTAAAACAAAACCAAAAGAATGAAAAAATAGAAGATAATGTGAAATATCTCACTGGAAAAACAACTGACCTGGAAAATAGGTCCAGGAGAGATAATTTTAAAATTATTGGACTACCTGACAGCCATGATCAAAAAAAGAACCTAGACATCATCTTTCAAGAAAGTATCAAGGAAAACTGCCCTGATATAGTAGAACCAGAGAGCAAAATAGAAATTGAAAGAACCCACCAATCTCCCCCTGAAAGAGATCCCCAAAGGAAAACTCCTAGGAATATTGTAGCCAAATTCCAGAGTTCCCAGGTCAAGGAGAAAATATTACAAGCTGCCAGAAAGAAACAATTCAAGTATTGTGGAAACACAATCAGGATAACACAAGATTTAGCAGCTTCTACAGGGCATGGAATATAATATTCCAGAGGGCAAAGGAGATAGGATTACAACCAAGAATCACCTACCCAGCAAAACTGAGTATAATCCTTCAGGTGAAAAAGTGGTAATTCAGTGAAATAGAGGACTTTCAAGCATGATGAAAAGACCAGAGCTGAATAGAAAATTTGACTTTCAAATACAAGACTCAAGTAGAACATGAAGAGGTAAACAAGAAAGAGAAATCATAAGAGACTTATTAAGGTTGAACTGTTTACATTCCTGCATGGAAAGATGATATTTAACTCATGAGACCTTTGTCAGTATTAGCATAGTTGGAAGAAAAAAATTATATGTATGTATAGGGAGAGAGAGAGAGAGAAAGAGAGAGAGAGAGAGGGCACAGGGTGAGTTGAAAGATTAAGGGGTCATATCTGGAGAATAAAATTAAGGGATGAGAGAGGATTATACTGGGAGAAGAAGAAAGGGAAAGGTAGAATGGGGTAAATTATCTCACAAAAAAAACAGAAAAGAAAATCTCTTACAGTGGAGGGGAAATGGGGAAGGTGAGAGGGAATGAGTGAATCTTATTCTCATAGGATTTGGCTTAAGGAGGGAATAACATACACATTCAATTGGGTATGGAAATCTGTCTTACCCTAAGGAAAATAGGGGGAGAAGGGGACAAGAGAGCAGGGGGATGATAGAGAGGAGGGCAGATTGGGAAAGGGGTAATCAGAAGCAAATACTTCTGAGGAGGGACAGGGTCAAAAGAAAGAATAGAATAAATGGTAGGGCAGGATAGGATTAAGGGAAGTAAGAGTTTTTCACAACATGTCTACTATGGAATGTTTTGCATAACTGCACATGTATAACCTATATTGAGTTGCTTGCCTTTTCAATGAGGGTGGGTGGGGAGGGAGGAAGGGAGAATATTTGAAACCTAAAGTTTTAAAAACATACATTTAAAAAAGATGTTTTCACATGCAACTGGGAAATAAGAAATACAGGAAATGGGGTACAGAAGTCTATCCTGCTCTACAGGAAAATAGGGGAAGAGGATAAGAGAAGGGGGGGAGAGATAGAAGTGAGGGCAGACTAGGGGAAGGGATATTCAGAATGCATGCCATCTTGAGGTGGGGGGGGGGCGAGATGGGGTGAAAATTTGGAACTCAAAATCTTGTGGAAGTAAATATTGAAAACTGAAAATAAATAAATTTATATTAAAAAAATTTAAAAAAGAAATATGGTTTGCATGACTTATGTATAATTGATACTATATTGTTTGCTTTCTCAATGGGTGGGAGGCGAGCTAAAGGGAGGGAGAGAATTTGGAACTCAAAGTTTTTAAAAGTGAATGCAAAATATAATTTTAAAAAGAAAAGAAGTGGTGCATATAATGAAACATACAAGAGGGCCACTAACGGTTGCCCAAGTTGCCTCTCCAAATTAGAAGGTAGATCAGGCCTTGTGGTCCTGTTGTGATACTATGTGGTAGGATACAAGAACTAGCTTTTCCTTTTTTTTTTTTTAATTTTTGTTTCCTCAGTTAAATCTAATGAGGTAGCCATGTGGCTGGAAATAATAAAGCTTTCAGTTTGATATTTGTTAACCTAGGATCAAGTCACCGTATATTATTTTTCTCTGACAAAAACAATATTGTACAGATGTGTGAATAAGCCACTTAATTTTTCCACAATATCTAATATAATTCCCAAACCACCATGTTGATTTTTAATATATAGCTGTGAGGTACTGAAGTCACAGCACTTTGCATGTTTAAGTTTGATGTTAGTCCAGTGGAAGAAATGCTGAGCTTGGAATCATGGGACTTGAATTTGAATTCTGGCTGTTCTACTTCATCTGTGTCACTCAAGCTCATTGGGCCTCAACTATAAAATGAGGGGGTTGCACTATATGATCTCTTAAGGCCTTCCATACCTAGATAGAAGATCGTATATATGGACTAGTGTTTTACTGGTTATTGACTACTCTGACTACCACTATCTCACTTCATCTCAGAAGAAAAAGCTAGCTTGCATTGAGTCATGTCAGTACAGTCTCCTGTGAAGACTGTATTGTTAATTCTATATATAGCAAATTTCTTGCCTACATAGACCCTGACAACCTTTTAAACACTATTACTTAGGGTCATGGGAACAATGTCCATATAAAATAGTTTTAGAGTATCCTGAGACACTGAGAGATTATGTCACTTAAGTCCCATGTTTTCAAGTTTGAATTGTCTTGAGTTTCTTACAGGCATTGACCATGTCTTAGCTAATCAGTGTTGAGAGATTTGTCATTTTTGAAGAATATACAAAAAGTGAGGCATAGTGGATAGAGAGCTCACCTTGGACACAGGCAGACTGGGCTTCAACTCCTGCTTCTGAAATGTTTGGCTAATTGGCTTCTGGAAAAAAACTACATGAGGCACTCTGGATGATATAAAAGAAAGAACATGATCAATGCTCTTTAAAAACTGGAGACAATGAAATCAGGAGCCTAACTTAGAAGAAAATGAATTTTAAATTATTTCCTTTTTGTCATTATAACTAAAACCCCTTACCCTAACTTTGACTCTCTCTTTCTCTTCCTTCAACCTCCTTGCCATGACTTGGCACATAATTATATGCTTGTATTCCTCACTAATGTTCTATTTTGATGCCTCATGGTGTTGACTTGGATTCTCAGAGGCAGTTCTGAGTCCAAGCTCTGGCTAGGCCTACCCAATTGGAAAAACTTCAGGTATGGGCCAGGTGACAGATGGTATGTCTATCATCTGAGGATCAGCCTAAGGTCAGAGAGGTTTCACGCAAGGAGGTTAGCTGCCATGATTTTTATTTTTGGCCACAGAAACTCATGGAACTGTATAGAAAGGTTGCAGTCAACAGTGGGAGTATCTACACCAGTCAAATCACGGGTCTTTTGAAGTATTCAAGATGTGTTGTTTACTGTTTCATATATGTTAATCTTTACTCTGATACTGGATGGTAAGCTCTAGGAAGGCAATTTTAAGTGGGGTTTCTCATGGTGCCTAGCACTGTGCTAGGCACGTAGTAGGTACTGAATAATAGTTAGTGACTGAATGCTCTGCTCAGTGTGACAAAGAGCTACTTGTTCCCACGATTTTCTTTTCGGCCACAGACAAACCTGAAGATCACGCTCACCATCAACATTACCATCTTTGCATTGTGTGTGTTCTATGAGCCCAGATATAATAGTACAGAAAACAACATCTCACATTAGCAAAGATTTCAGATAAGAACATACTCTTTGGACATCAGAAATTGACATCAGAAAACTGTCAGAAGAGATGTTTGGCAACATGGCTGCCTTGGCTGGTTACATTTTTTTTAACGTGGTTAAGATATCTTCGGACTGGCAATGACTAAGCAGCACTTCCTTTAACTGAATGAAATATTATCAGCACCATATGCCATGGCATCAGCCCAACCCATGCTGCCAGCCGTCAGACTTCCCACTCATTTGCCAAAAATCCCATCTGTTCTCGTCCCCGAGTTTCTGCACAGTTCTACTATATGTTCATTATCTTTTTACAACAAGAGCAAACATCTTTACTTTGGGGCCCCCCCAGTCTGAGACCTTAAAATAAGCTAGGTTTTGCTAGTTTAGCAAGCAACACTTGCTACTTCTATCAAACTGGTATGTATGCAATCAGAGCATATAGAAACCTTTTCTATAGAAATTGTTTTAGAAAAGATTTTGTAGAGAAAAGTAACATCATTTTGTTTCTTTTTTTAAATCATAACCCTGTGCTGCTGCTTTGGATAATCTGTTAAAAAATTCAAAGAAATTACCCCAAAAATGCATGAAATTAAATTATCAGTCTTCAGGCTGGGCTCAAAGGTTGGTCAAGCTTGTCAGAGCTTTTTCTCTGTTAGTGTAAGGGTAAAGAACCCAGGGTCACCTATGTGTAACAATTAAGTCATCAAAGAAGGACGTCTCTGGTGAACTGCAAGACTAAATAAAATACACATGCATTTGGATTTAACAACTGGAGAGACAAATACTCCGTTTTTGCCAGCAGCAAAACAGGCCAACAAATTTATCCCTGGAAATCTCTGGAAAGGGGTTTATAGAATATTGAGAAATAATCTCAGTTAATGGTATAATTGCTGTGAAAAACATTTGTGTTCAATTCTTTTCAAATATGCTACATTAAGAGATATGGTAATTTAGAATATAGAGTCCAAAATTAATCAGCAAACAGACTCTTCCCGTTTGTTAATGTTAATCAGGCAAGATGGTATAGTGAAAAGAGGGCTTAACTTAGAGTCAGGATATCTGAATTCATTTCCTGATCCTACAATTTAACTAATTGAATGTGTGAAAGTCATCTACTTCTTTGGGTCTCAGTTTCCTCATCTGCAAAATGGGGAATATGAATATGCCCAAGAAACAACAAACAGAAGAAATTTAGAGAAAGGGAAATGGGGCAAAAAAACAAAACAACAAAACAAAACCAAAAAGACAATGTATGCAATGACTGCAGCCGTGTAAATGAAAGCAATATGAAAGGGCAACTAAACTCAGATTACCTACAGCACTCTTTGTCCTGGAGAACAGAGGATGAAACACACATCCCTCCTCTCTGTAGAGAGGCAGGAGACCATCAGAGCTATCATCTGCTGCCAGAGTACAATGGCTGGCTGACATAAAAAACCACCAAAAGAATATTGGTGTTAAGAAAGTGGGCCTTCGTGTGAGGGAGAAAGCTGTGATCCATATTCTATGAAGCTATCATTTTTAAGATTGTAGAGATATGCTTTGCTAATAAAAATTTACCTATTCCCTTCTTACATTTTCATAAAGATAAGCTTGACATATGCATAACTAATTCTCCCAAAGATTTTACAAAGTTAAGCTAGAAGTTTCCCAATAAGATCAGGGCGAAACAAGAATGCATGTTATCACCACTATTATTCAATACTGAACTAGAAATGTTAGCTTTAGCAATAAAAGAACCTGAAGGAACTGGACTAGGCAATGAGGAAACAAAACTATCACTCTTTGCAAATGATATGATGGTATACTTAGAGAATCCTAGAGAATCAACTAAAAAACTACTTGAAAAAATTAACAACTTTAACAAAGCTGCAGGATATAAAATAAACCCAGGTAAAGCATCAGCATTTCTATACATATATTACTAACAAAGCCCAGCAGCAACAGAGAAATTCCATTGAAAATAACTGTAAACAATATAAAGTATTTGGGAGTCTACCTGCCAAGACAAACCTGGGAACTATATGAAAACAATTACAAAACACTTTTCATACAAATAAAGTCAGATTTAAATAACTGGAAAAAATCAGTTGCTTATGGGTAGGCCAAGCTAATATAATAAAAATTACTATTCTACTTAAATTAATTTACATGTTCAGTGCCATACCAATCTGACTACCAAAAATTATAGAGCTAGAAAAAATAATAACAAAATTCATCTGGAAAACAAAAGGTCAAAAATATCAAGGGAATGAATGGGGAAAAAATGCAAAGGAAGGTGGTCTAGCCATACCAGATCTAAAACTATATTATAAAGCAAAAATCATCAAAACTATTTGGTACTGGCTAAGAAATAGAGTGGTGGAATAGATTAGGTATATAAGACACAGTAGTAAATGACTATAGTAATCTACTGTTTGATAAACCCAAAGACTCCAGCTTCTGGGATAAGAACTCACTGTTTGACAAAAGCTAATGGGAAAACTAGAAAGTAGTAGGAAGAAACTAGGCATAGACCAACATCTCATACCCTAGACCAAGATAAGTTCAAAATGGGTACATGATTTAGACATAAGGGATAATAATATAAGCAAATTAGGAGAGCAAGGAATAGTTTACCTGTCAGATCTATAGAAAAGGGAGGAATTTGTGACCAAACAAGAGATAGATAACATTATGAAATGCAAAATGGATCATTTTGGTTACATTAAATTAAAAAGGTTTTGCAAAAACAAAACCAATGCAATCAAGATTAGAAGGAAAGCAGAAAGCTGGGAAACAATTTTTACAGCCAATGTTTCTGATAAAGGCCTCATTTCTCAAATAAATAGATAACTAAGTCAAATTTATAAGAATACAAGTCATTCCCCAATTGATAAAAGGTCAAATGATATGAATAGGCAGTTTTCAGAGGAAGAAATTAAAGCTATCCATGTTATATGAAAAAATGCTCTAAATCACTATTGATTAGAGAAATGTAAAAACAACTCTGAGGTGTCATAGCACACCCATCATATTGGCTGATATGACAGAAAAGGAAAATGATAAATGGTGGAGAAGATATGGGAAAATTGGAACACATTGCATTGTTGGTGGACTTGTAAACTGATCCAACCATTCTGAAGTGCAATTTGGAAATATGCCCAAAGGGAAATCAAACTGTGCATACACTTTGATCCAGCAATACCACTTCTAGGTTTATATCCCAAAGAGATCATAAAAATGGGAAAAGGACTCACAAGTATAAAAATATTTATAGCAGCTCTTTTTGTGGTGGCAAAGAATTGGAAATTGAGGGAATGCTGAACAAGTTATGATATATGAATGTAATGGAATACTATTGTGGTATAAGAAATGATGAGCAGGTGGATTTCAGAAAAACCTGGAAAGGCTTATATGAACTGATATTGAGTGAAGTGAGCAGACAGGAGAAAACTGTACACTGTAACAGCCACATTGTACAGTGATTAGCTATGATAGACTTAGCTCTTCTCAGTAATACAATGATCCAAGATAATTCCAAAAGACTCACGATAGAAAATGCTATCCGCATCCAGAGAAAGAACTATGGAGTCTGAATACAGATCAAAGCATACTATTTTCATTTGTTTTTTGTTTTTTGTTTTTGCTTTTTCCTTTCTCGTGGTTTTCCCCTTTTGTTCTGTTTCTTCTTTTACAACATGAGTAATGTGGAAATACATTTACATGATTGCACATGTATAATCTATATGAGATTGCTTACTGTGTTGGAGAGGGGAGATGGGAGGGAGAAAAAATTTGGAACTCAAAATCTTACAAAAAAACAATGAAAACTATCTTTACATATAATTAGAAAATATATAATACTATTAAGGAAAAAAAGATTTTACAGTTAAAAAAGGAGGCATTTAAAAAAGTAAACATAGATCAGTAGTTTTGATATGCCAAAGACAACTTAGAAGGTCATTAGGAAAAGTCTGTGACCACGGTGAGAGAGAAGATTAGTCCCAACCCAAGTCCCGCATGGCCCTGGGGTGGAGGTTGCTTCTGGAGCTTCTGGCCCACAGACTGAGGGGGAATTGAGTGGCTGATGAGAGGGGGATTGCAGGGATCTCTTTGCTGGCTCTGAGGCAGGATTCTCTTGCTTTGCCTGTGCTTGGATCTGGGTCACAGTTCTAAGTGGCAGTCCTGGGGCAAGGAGGAGTGTGGGCATGGCAGAGCTCGTGGTGGCGGTGGAGAGAGAATTCTCCTCACAGTTCCAAGGCAGAAAAGAGTGCTTGTGGGGGGCAGCTAGGTGGCACAGGGGATAGAGCATGGGCCCTGAAGTCAGGAGGACCTGAGTTCAAATGTGTCCTCAGACCAAACACTTGACACTTACTAGCTGTGTGACCCTGGGTAAGTCACTTAACCCCAATTGCCTTTAAAAAAAAAAAGGAAAAAAAAAAGAAAAGAGTGCTTGTGGTCACTCATAGAGCAGAGCACAGTCCAGGAAAGGAGTAAACACCTCGCCCCTGATCATACCACCTTGGAAGAACTGAAAATTTACAGGTCCCTAGAAGTATCTCTAAAAACAGCTGCACGTAACATTTTAAAAAAATATATTAAAAAATTATAAAAAAACCCAGCTGCACAAAACCCCCCAAACTTGGGATAGTACATTCGCCACACTGGAAGCAGACCCCTACCTTAACAAAGAGTTTAAAACTCAAGTAATTGGCTGGGATCATGAGCAAACAGCACAAAAAAGTCAGACTATAGAATCTTTCTTGGATGACAAAGATCAAAACATACAACCAGAAGAAGACAACAAAGTCAAAACTCCTTCATCCAAAGCCTTCAAGAAAAATAGGAATCAGTCAGTCCCAGGCCATGAAAGAGCTCAAAAAGGATTTTGAGAAGCAAGTAAGAGAAGTAGAGGAAAAACTGGGAAGAAAAATGACAGTGATGCAAGATGAAAGATGAGTCAATAGCTTGCTAAAGGAGACCCAAAAAATACTGAAGAAAATAACACCTTAAAAAATAGCCTAACCCAAATAGCAAAAGAGGTCCAAAAAGCCATGAGGAGAAGAATGCCTTCAAAAGCAGAATTGGCCAAATGGAAAAGGAGATCCAAAAGCTCATTGAAGAAAATATTTCCTTAAAAATTAGAATGGAGCAATTGGAAGGTAGTGACTTTATGAGAAATCAAGACGTAAAACAAAACCAAAAGAATGAAAAAAATAGAAGACAATATGAAATATCTCACTGGAAAAACAACTGACCTGGAAAATAGGTCCAGGAGAGATAATTTAAAACTTATTGGACTGTCTGAAAGCCATGATCAAAAAAAGAACCTAGACATCATCTTTCAAGAAAGTATCAAGGAAAACTGCCCTGATATTCTAGAAGCAGAGGGTAAAATAGAAATGGAAAGAATCCACTGATCACTTCCTGAAAGAGATCCCCAAAGGAAAACTTCTAGGAATATTATAGCCAAATTCTAGAGTTCCCAGGTCAAGGAGAAAATATTGCAAGCAGCCAGAAAGAAACAATTCAAGTATTGTGGAAACACAATCAGGATAACATAGGATTTAGCAGCTTCTACACTAAGGGAACACAGGGCTTGGAATATAATAGTCCAGAGGGCAAAGGAGATAGGATTACATCCAAGAATCACCTACCCAGCAAAACTGAGTATAATCCTTCAGTAGAAAAAATGGTCATTCAGTGAAATAGAGGACTTTCAAGCATTCTTGATGAAAAGACCAGAGCTGAATAGAAAATTTGACTTTCAAATACAAGACTCAAGAGAAGCCTGAAGAGGTAAACAGGAAAGAGAAATCATAAAGGACTTATTAAGGTTTGTCTATTTACTTTCCTGCACAGAAAGATGATATTTATAACTCATGAGACCTTTTTCAGTATTAGGGTAGTTGGAGGGGAAAAAGTTATATGTCTAAATAGATTGGTGGATAGAGGGTACAGGGTGAGTTGAAGATGAATGGGTGATATCTGGAGAATAAAATTAAGGGGTGAGAGAGGATTATACTGGGAGAAGGAGAAAGGAAGAGGTAGAATGGGGTAAGTTATCTCACATAAAACAGACAAGAAGAGGCTTTTACAGTGGAGGGGAAATGGGGGGAAGGTGAGAGGGTATGAGTGAATCTTATTCTCATAAGATCTGGCTTAAGGAGGGAATACCACACACACTCAATTAGGTATGGAAAGCTATCTTACCATACGGGAAAATGGGGGGGAAGCGGCTAAGAGAGCAGGGGGATGATAGAAGGGACGGCAGATTGGGGCATAATCAGAAGCAAACACTTCTCAGGAGGGACAGGGTCAAAAGAGAGAATAGAATAAATGGGGGGGGCAGGACAAGATGAAGGGAAATATAGTTTTCCACAGCATGACTACCACGGAAGTGTTTTGCATGACTACACAACTATAACCTGTATCAAGTTGCTTGCCTTCTCAATGAGAGTGGGTAGGGAGGGAGGAAGGGAGAAAATTTGGAACCTAAAGTTTTAAAAACAAATGTTAAAAATTGTTTTCACATGCAACTGGGAAATAAGATATACAGGCAATGGGGTACAGAGATCTATACTGCCCTACAGGAAAACAGAAGGGGAAAGGATAGGAGAAAGGGTGGGGGGGGAGATAGAAAGGAGAGCAGATTAGGGGAAAGGATATTCTGAACGCATGCCATATTGGGATGGGGGGAGGGACGAGATGGGGAGAAAATTTGGAACTCAAAATCTTGTGGATGTGAATGTCAAAAATGAAAAATAAATTAATGAATCTTAAAAACAAAACAAAAAAAATTAAAAAGAGAGAATAACATACACAAAAAAAGAAAAAAAACCCATAGCATTATAGAGCACAGTCAGTAACATACGAACAATGTTCTAAATGGCACATGACTTCCTAGGCAGTCAAAATGTGAACTATATAAAAACTTAAAATAGGAGACTATAGTGGAGATAAAGTTGGACTGTTATCAGGCTGGAAACACTTTTCTCTTCACCATGTAGTGAAAAATGGAAGTTCTCTTTGAGATTTGCACAGGAATAGTTTTCTGATTCAGTAGATCCCACCAATCAGAGGGTAGAGACTTCCTTTGTACTGTTCAATGAGAAAGTCACCATCCAAAGTGTCATTATAGCAAGATGTTGTGCAAAGTTACTAAAGGATGTAATTGCAATCCATCAGCTTCGTTGAAGCAAAATAATGTTGGCTCAAATACATAGGGTATGCTGAGTATGCCTAAATTCTCTTTAAGAAGGCAAGGAAGTGGCTAATATATTTTAGAGAGTTTTCTATCAAGAGTAATGAAGGCAATGCCAGTTTGCATGTGCGGCCCTGCTTGGTTTCAACTCCACAGAACATGATTCCTCACATCAGTCCCTTGCAAATGACTATCAGACCACTGAAAACTAAGAGGAACGTTGACTGTTCTCGTACAGGAGTGAAGTGATGCTGGGATTATTTAGTCCAAAAGTTCTGGGAAGATTCTCACCTTGCTCTCTTCTTGCGCCTCCATGAATGAAATCAGATAGCTGCTACTTCTGGTGCGTGGGCATGAAAGATTTCCACCTCTGGAAAAAAATAGGACTCTTCTTGGAAAATGAATCAATACTCCTCATTTCTATAGCTCCTGGCTCCCATCCAAATAGTCACTCTGGCCAAATACTGCATTCTCAAATCTTCTTTCCTATCTTAGACACTCCCTTGTGGCACCTCTCCATTTCAGTTAAGCAAAGACATAAATAGTTTTATAACACAATAGTTAACCATATCTATCATAATGCCATCTTAAAAGACAAAAGGAACAGATATGAGCTTCAGTGAATCAGGACCTAGGGGCAACTAGGTGACAATGGATAGAGCACCAGTCCTGGAGTCAGGAGGACCTGAGTTCTAATCTGACCTCAGATACTTACTAGTTGTGTGACCCTGGGTAAGTCACTTAACCCTGATTACCTAAAAATAAAATAACTCAGCATCTGTCCAATTATGCTGTGGAACTCCAGAATCCAGTGCTGGAGATGTCATCACTGCAGCTCTTGTTCTCCTGTGATTGTTTTCCACAGCTCCTTGAAGTTTCTTTTTTCAGGTTTTCTACCTCTTGTTACTGCTGCCCTCTACCTTTCCTGCATACTCTCCTCTTAGTGCTACTGCTCTTCTGGCATTTGGCTTCCACTCCCCCAAACTCTGAAGATGGGAAGGGCTAGCATGTCCGTCCAGACTCAACACTGTAAGTTTCAGGGTCACACATCTCCATAGGAGATCAGATAAGTGGAAGGCTAACCGTCAGGCACGTGAACATATCCATTTATACTAGGAAGGACAATGAACCAGAATCACCCAAATAAAGGAGAGTCTGCAGACTGACTCCCTAGAGATCATGGATCAGCATCTTGAAACTCCCTAATAGCTGAAAAGAGAAAAGAAGATTCATCCACAAGGAGAGCAGGGAGGTTTACAAGAGGAGAAGGTGACTCATGATGCGTACTGTTCCCAAAGATCCACCACAGGCTTCCAAATCTGCCTTCCAGAGTTACGAGTTGCCCCGGGCGCACAGGTTTGCTCACCTATATGCCTCATTGGCGAGAGTGTGTAATTCAGGTTATGTATAGACTCATAATTTTATTATTCCTACTTTTTCCTTCTATTGAGTAAATTGTTATTGTTCAGTTGGTTCGGTCGTGTCTGGCTCTTTGTGACCTCATTTGGAGTTTTCTTGATAAAGAACCTGGAATGGTTTGCCATTTCCTTACTCCATTGAATAAATATGCTATCATTGTTATTGATTTTGACTTCCCATTTAATAAACGTCTGATGTTTAAAAGTTGATGGTATCAACTGCGGCTGAATTTTTGTAAAAAGGAAACAGACAAGTAGAGGCTTGGAAGTGACAGTGGTAAGGAATAGGAGTATATTCCCCCACATCAGGGTTATCTTCAGCTGCTGTTCAGTCTTTCGGATTCCCTGTGATCCCAAGGACAAGCCACGAGATTTTCTTGGCAAAGATATAGAGCGGCTTACCATTTCCTTCTCCAGTGTTTCCCTGTTTTACAGTTGAGAAACGGAGGTAAATAGGGGTTCAGTGACATACCCAGGGTCACACAACTAGTAAGTAACTGAGGTCAAATTTGAATTCAGAGCTTCCCAACTCCAGGCCTCTGTTCTATACACTGAGCCCTCTGACTGCCTGTCATTTGCCGCACTCTGAGTTTTAGCTATTTGGCTGCTCCTCTGGTGACATCACCCTGACCTGTAGGTACAGGTGGAATAAGTGAGTCAGCTCCAGGTCAGGAATAGAGAGAGCCTGAGGAGAGTTGCAGTTAGTGCCATGCCTTCATATACGCTACTGTCAGGATGAGTGGGTTGGCACCATACCAGAGCTACACCTACAATTCTAAAAGCCTAATTACTGTTTTTTTTGGATCCTTGACTAACACTACTCCTTCAGCCTCCTCTCCCCTCTGATTGGAGGGATGGAGAGTGCCATGCCAAACTCCTCCTAATACCTTCTATTATAGAGGGCAGAAACTGGATTTTATGGACTCACTCTACTCTTTATCTGCTTCTGCTTTCTCCTGTTCTGCCTGTTTTTACTCCACAGAACAAGATACCTCTTCCATGATATGCTTCACTTCTAATCTCACCACCAGGCTGATAACTCAAGGCTCCATTGATACTATCTCCCTCAGCCTCCTCTGTATAATATAGACTTAGTATAGACTAACATCTTACACCATATACCAAGGTAAGGTCAAAATGGATATGTAATTTTAGACATAAAGATGATATCATAAAAAAGTAGGAGAGCATGAAATAGAAGGGAAGAATTTAGGACCAAACAAGAGATAGAGGACATTACAAGATGTAGAATGGATAATTTTAATTATATTAAATTAAAAAGGTTTTGCACAAATAAAACCAGTGCAACCAAAATTAGTAGGAAAGCAGAAAGCTGGGAAATAATTTTTTGTAGCAAGTGTCTCTGATTGATGAAAATGAAGATGAAAAAAATCAGAGAGCTATCTATAATTATATGAATAAATGCTCTAAATCACTATTGATTGGAGAAATGCAAATTAAAGCAACTATGAGGTACTACCTCATATCTATCAGATTGGCTAATATGACAGAAAAAGAAAATTACAAATGTTGGAGGGGATGTGGGAAAACTGGGACATCAATGCATCGTTGATGGAGTTGTGAACCGATTGAATCATTCTGGAAAGCAATTTGGAACTTTGACCAAAGGACTATAAAACTGCATATGTTTTGATCCTGCAATACCATTACTAGGTCTGTATCGACAAAGAGATTTTTTAAAAAGGGGAAAGAACCTACAAAAATATTGATAGCAGCTCTTTTAGTGTGGCAAAGAATTGGGTATTGAGGGGATGCCCAACAATTGGTGAATGGCTGAACAAGTTGTGGAAATGATTGTAATGGACTATTATTGTGCTATAAGAAATGACAAACAGGCAAATTTCAGAAAAACCTGGAAAGATTTACACAAACTAATGCAAAGTGGAGTGAGCAGAACCAAGAGAACATTGTACACAGTAACAGCAGTATTGTAATGATGAACAACTGTGAATGACTGGCTTTTCTCAGCAATACAAGAACCGAATACAATCCCAAAGGACTCATGATGAAAAATGCCTCCAGAGAAAGAAATGATAGTATCTGAATACAGACTGACACATACTACTTTCACTTTTTCTTTCTTTCTTTCTTCCAGTTTTCTTCCACAAAATGAAAAATATGTTTTACATAATTACATATGTTTAATCTATATGAGATTGCTTACCACCTCAGGAAGGGGAAAAGGGAGGGAAAGAGCAGAATTTGGAACTCTAAACATTTCTAATAGTATTTAGTTTTTTCCAGTTGCAAGTAAAGACAATTTTTAACATTCATTTTTTAAAAACATTTTTGAGTTCCAGATTTTTTCCCTTTACTCCCTCCCCAAAATGGTAAGCAATTTGATGTAGATTATACATGTAAAATAATATTAAACACATTTCCATATTAGTCATGTCATAAAAAAAGAAATAAGCCAAAAGGAAAAAAACCATGAGAAAATAAAATGAAAATAGTATGTCTTGATTTGCATTCAGACTCTATCAGTTCTTTCTCTGGCTGTGGATAGCATTTTCCATCATGAGCCCTTTGGAATTATCTTGGGTCATTGTATCACTGAGAAGAGGAAAGTTATATAGTTGATCATTGCAAAATGTTGCTGTTACTGTGTACAATAGTCTCCTAGTTTTGCTGATTTCACTTTGTATCAGTTCATGTAAGTCTTTCCAGCTTTTTCTGAAATCTGCCTGTTCATCATTTCTTATAGCACAATAATATTTCATTACATTTATATACAACAACTTGTTCAGCCATTCCTCAGTTGATGGACATCCCCTCAACTTCCAATTCTTTGCCACCAGTGAAAGAGCTGTTATAAATGTTTTTGTACAAATAAGTTCTTTTACGCAAATCAAAACAACTCTGAGGTACCACATCACACCTATCAGATTGTCTAACATGACAAAACAGGAAAATGATAAATGTTGGAAAAGATGTGGAAAAATTTGGACACCAATGCATTGTTGGTGGAGTTGTGAACTGATCCAATCATTTTGGAGAGCAATTTGAAACTATGCCCAAAGGACAATAAAAATGTGTATACCCTTTGACCCAGCAATACCACTTCTCAGTCTGTATTCCAAAGAGGTCATAAAAATGGGAAAAGGATCCATCTGCCCATTGTTTGGGATTTGATGGCTCAGAGTAAGTGTAAATAGCAATTGTTTCTGTTTTGTACAGAAACCCTGAGGATCTTCCTCTCCCAGATTGATTTTTTTTTGACTAGGTAAAAGAGGTCATTCTTTGTCTCATTTCCTATTAAGCCTAATCACTGAATAAGCTTTGCCTCAGTCAAACTGAGACCTATTAAAGACCTTAGCTTGAAAAGGTCAAGGTTCCTTGTCCTAATATCTATCTGGCCACTGGACCCAGATGGCTCCAAAGGTGAAAGTGACTTTGCAACCTCTTTGAGTAGAAAAGGAGATGCCTGCTGGGAACCAAACTGGAACTGGCCAGCTGACAACATGGCTTTCTTTCTTTCTGACATTGGGGCTTTCTTTTTTTCTTCCTTTTCCTTTCTTCACACCCTTACTTGTGGGTGCTTTGCCCAAAGGGAATGTACATTGGGGTTAAGTGACTTGCCCAGGGTCACACAGCTAGTAAGTATCAAGTGTTTGGTCTGAGGTCGATTTTAAACTCAGGTCCTCCTGACTTCAGGGCCAGTGCTCTATCCACTGTGCCACCTAGCTGCCCCTCCTTCTCCCTTAAAGACCAGCCTTAACCCCAAATCACTTTGGCGCTTCAAATCACTCTTGCTCTCATTAATTGGCCAATAATAGGTCTCAGGCTAGTCATTGGCTCAGAATGAATGTAAATGGCAATTGTTTCTGTTTTGGCCAGAAGCCCTGAGGGTCTTTCCCTCCCAGATCTTATTTTTTTTTTTTAAAGAGGCCATTCTTTGCCTAGTTTCTTATTAGTCCTAATCATTGAATAGGATTTGCCTCAGTCAAACTGAGATCTATTAAAGACCTTAGCTTGAAAAGGCCAAGGTTCCCTCCCCACTGCATCCTGGACCATCTCCAGTTGTCCTGATCTATATCTGGCCATGGTACCTAGATGGCTCTGGAGTAGAGAGTGAGACTGGCAACTCTGCATAGCCCTGCTTCACTTAAATCCAATGCAAGTCAAGACACCACCTTCCTAATGTCATTGGTCCTCTTCGAGAAGGAAGGACAAACAACACTTCTGCTGCAGAATACATTGTGAGCCATGCTTAAGTTAGAAATAAAAAGAAAGTGGAATTATTTCCCCCTTCCTCCACTGGAAACCAAATCCAGACATGGCTCTTGTCCTTCATTGGCCTAGTAAAGCTTGGTGGTTGTTGGGAAAGGAGGAAAGAAAGAAAAGAGATAGGCTTTGCTGCTTGGTTCAGGGCAATTTATAGTCATTCAGAAGTGGGGGAAGAAAATTAAAGCAGAAGAATTGAAGAGGCCTTTACTTTCTGACCCCAACTTTTAAGTGCTGATTCTATGGGAAAATTCCAGGACTGTATTAAAATAATTGGATCTTAATAATTTTCAGGCCTAGAATACTTTCATTTGTTTCAAATAAATTTGGGCAGCTAGTTGATAAAGTGCTAGGCCTAGAATCAAGAAGACATGAATTCCAATCTGGGCTTAGATAATAGCTGTGTGACCTTGGGCCAGTCACTTAAATCTCTGTTTGCCTCAGTTTCCTCAACTGTAAAATGAAGATAATAACAGCACCTACCTCCCAGGGTTGTTGTGGGCATCAAATGGGGTGATAATTGTATGCTTGGCACAATACTTGGCCCATAGTTATTATTAATGTTAGTTATTATTATTATTAAATTCTCACTCCCCAGAAAAAGAGAAATCATTC